TATTTCATGATCACGTCTATATATTCTACCCGAATAAAGCAAATGCGTTGCATCACCCGATAGCCAATGTTTCATAATGTGTGAAGAATGGATAATGATGAATAATTAATGAATTTTGCAGGTTACAAGTCAGTACTTGTTCAAGTTACTGTTTTTCGTAATTTCAGTTTGGATATCAGTAAGAATTGACTTCAAGGTGTGGGTTCGACCAACGACAAAGTAACGTCTTTGTCCAGGTGCAATGGAACATATCCGTTGATCCCAGACTAGATCATTTGATGTTTTCGAATAGCTCGTGATTGTTTCACGAATTACTTGTGATAGATATGATGTGATTTACACTCAATATATACTGCGGGGAAAGGGGGACAGATCTTAAGTTTCATATGAACCTACACAACACACATTTTCAGGGGCGTCGCCAGGATGGGGCAAGGGGGCGCTTGCGCACCCCCCCCCCCCCCCCGCCCCCCCCCCCCCCCCCGAAAGCAAAAAAAAAAGAAGAAAAGAAAAAAAAATAGACAAAGAGGTGTGAAGCCATATTTGCTATTAATAGAATACATATTTAACAACATGGGTGTCTGCAGGGTGTCAATGGGGTGGGGTGGGTAAATGCCCCCTCCCACCTTCGAAAGAATGATAAATTGAGAATATGCTGGAGACTAGAAAGTACAAGGATTTGGGGGAGGGGGAAATGTGCTTTGCCCCGCCCCCAGCAAACATCCTGAGAACGCCCATGCACATTTTAATAAGCAGTATACAGTATATATAACAAACGAAGCATTTGGGTTATCGTAGGCACATAATGAAATTGCAACTTAACACATTTAGGAAGTTTTCTTAATTGAAGATAATCAAGCATTTAGTTTCTTTGGTATAGTACCAATATATGCATTAAGCGGTATTATATTTATGATGTGGTGACATTTAAAATAATTGCGATGTCAAAAGTTTACTCCTTATCATCCAAGGTGGAATTCCAAAATGCCTTGTTTTTCTTGAACGAGTGAGGGCGGTATAATAAAACTATTTGGGAGCGTGCACAGACGTAAATATCGAGGCTATCGATATGGTTTACATGGTTTAAGTGCTAAAAAAAACATGGTTTATACACAAAATATTTAGGTTCAATTAAAGTTAATAAACTGCTTCAATAATTGTTTTTTTTTTAACCGTTATTACCCGGAAAATTACGTCGTTACAGCGCCCTTATACGATCAAAAAAATATATTGCAAACTTCTACGTTCTGCCGTAATATAAAACATGGTTAAACTGTTTGCCTGCAACACAGTAATGTATCTGTGTAAACTCACCTTGATTATATAAAAAGTCGTACTCTAATAACCTCCTCATTCGTACAAAAGTCGTCCAAATTTCAGATATTAATAACAGCTCAATTTACATGTGATTAATGCAATAGAGCTTTTTTTTATTGCTCACCGATGCGAATGTTAGATCACTCCAGTAGATTACTGTACGATTTCAAACACTGTCTTACTCACAGACAACGTAATATTCATATCAGAAAAAAAGTATGATTTAAAATTAAGTGAATTTACAAAACCCTTAACGAGAACACTGAAAATAACTGAGTACGATGTTATAATTGTTGGCTTATTGCTTACGTTCTGACGTAATATTCAACATGGTAGAATACAGACTGTTTCATTGTTAAGTGCCTGCAACGAAGTAATGTATCAGTGTAAACTCACCATGATTATATAAAAAAAGTCGTACTCTAATAACCTCTCCATTCGTACAAAAGCCGTCGAAATTTCAGATATTAATAACAGCTCAATTTACATGTGATTAATGCAATAGAGCTTTTTATTGCTCATCGATACGTATGTTAGATCCCTTCAGTAGATTACTGTACGATTTCAAACACTGTCTTACTCACAGACAAAATAATATTCATATCAGAAAAAAGTATGATTTAACATTAACGGAATTTACAAAACCCTTTACGAGAACACTGAAAATAAGTGAGTATATAATGTTATAATTATTGGCTTATTGCTTACGTTCTGCCGTAATATTAAACATGGTTGAATATAAACTGTTTGCTTGCAACGCAGTAATGTATATGTGTAAACTCACCATGATTATATAAAACAAGTCGTACTCTAATAACCTCCCCATTCGTACAAAAGCCGTCGAAATTTCAGATATTAATAACAGCTCAATTTACATGTGATTAATGCAATAGAGCTTTTTATTGCTCATCGATACGTATGTTAGATCCCTTCAGTAGATTACTGTACGATTTCAAACACTGTCTTACTCACAGACAAAATAATATTCATATCAGAAAAAAGTATGATTTAACATTAACGGAATTTACAAAACCCTTTACGAGAACACTGAAAATAAGTGAGTATATAATGTTATAATTATTGGCTTATTGCTTACGTTCTGCCGTAATATTAAACATGGTTGAATATAAACTGTTTGCTTGCAACGCAGTAATGTATATGTGTAAACTCACCATGATTATATAAAAAAGTCGTACTCTAATAACCTCCCCATTCGTACAAAAGCCGTCGAAATTTCAGATATTAATAACAGCTCAATTTACATGTGATTAATGCAATAGAGCTTTTTATTGCTCATCGATACGTATGTTAGATCCCTTCAGTAGATTACTGTACGATTTCAAACACTGTCTTACTCACAGACAAAATAATATTCATATCAGAAAAAGTATGATTTAACATTAACGGAATTTACAAAACCCTTTACGAGAACACTGAAAATAAGTGAGTATATAATGTTATAATTATTGGCTTATTGCTTACGTTCTGCCGTAATATTAAACATGGTTGAATATAAACTGTTTGCTTGCAACGCAGTAATGTATCTGTGTAAACTCACCGTGATTATATAAAAAGTCGTACTCTAATAACCTCCCCATTCGTACAAAAGCCGTAAAAAATTCAGATATTAATAACAGCTCCATTTACATGTGATTAATGCAACAGAGTTTTTTTATTGCCCACCGATTTGTATGTTTGATCCAGTAGATTACTGTACGAATTGAAACACTGTGGTACTCACAGACAACGTAATATTCATATTAGTTAAAAAGTATGATTTTAAATTAAATGAATTTACAACACCCTTTACGAGAACACTGAAAATAACTGAGTATATGATGTTATAATTATTGGCTTATTGCTTACGTTCTGCCGAAATATTAAACATGGCAAAATATAAACTGTTTCATTTTTAAGTGCCTGCAACGCAGTAATGTATCTGTGTAAACTCACCTTGATTATATAAAAAGTCGTACTCTAATAACCTCCCCATTCGTACAAAAGCTGTCAAAATTTCAGATATTAATAACAGCTCAATTTACATGTGATTAATGCAATAGAGCTTTTTTATTGCTTACCGATACGTATGTTAGATCCCTCCAGTAGATTACTGTACGATTTCAAACACTGTCTTACTCACAGACAACGTAATATTCATATCAGAAAAAAAAGTATGATTTAAAATTAACGGAATTTACAAAATCCTTCACAAGAACACTAAAATATTTGAGTATGTGATGTTACAATAATTGGCTTTTTGCTTACGCTCTGCCTTAATATTAAACATGGCAAAATATAAACTGTTTCATTTATAAGTGCCTGCAACGCAGTAATGTATCTGTGTAAACTAACCATGATTATATAAAAAGTCGTACTCTAATAACCTCCCCATTCGTACAAAAGCCGTAAAAAATTCAGATATTAATAACAGCTCCATTTACATGTGATTAATGCAATAGAGCTTTCCTTTTGCCCACCGATACGTATGTTAGATCCAGTAGTTTAATGTACGTATTAAACTGTTACTCACTGTGGATGCAACGACAGATGTACATTACAAGAAAACAATATAAGAAAATGATGAACATGCAATGTTCACTATGTTTAAAGGCATTTGCATGTTCTTAAAAGTACATAACCTACTGAATTACTATCAAAATGCTTACTTTGGTTAAATATCGTAAGTTACTCACTTATACATCCCGTTTAATAAGTTCGTCTGGCTTGCGCCGTTTTAACAGAAATCAAGTAAAGTAAGTAATTTCCAACAATCAGTAAGCTCAGAGTGCTTTGGACAAAATCGTGTTTTGTGATAAAAAGGTCGGGAATGGTTTTCACACTATTTTCTCGATATTCACTATACAGCGCGTCCCATTATACCCGCAATTTTCTTTTGCGAGGCTCTAGCGTCGGCGCGGAAACACGAACCGCCATTATTTTTATACAATTTTAAAGCTTTGAATTTAAAACAATGAACAATATTGTGAATGTATTTAACATGTAGTCTATAGTAAAGTATACTATGTCGCATTTTTGACCTTTGCATTTATTTTTGCTAAAGAAGGAATTTTTGTCATTTTTGGATAGAGTTTACCTTCCTCAGCCAGAAATCCATTGGTAACATTTTTTCCATCTACCATGTGGCGGCCATCTTGGATTTCAAAATGGCGTCCATTTCGGACCTAATTTGTATCATAACTTCGGACCTGACTGTAACATGAAGTCCATTTTGGTGGCAAACCCCATGTTTTTGATACCAAGGAACCCACGTAAATCATTGTTGCTGGGGTACTCCCAATGGATGGCAGCCATCATGGATATTTCAAGATGGCCGCCATTTAGTACCTAATTTGTATCATAACTTCGGACCTGATTGTCATATGAAGTCCATTTTGGTGGCAAACCCTATGTATTTGATACCAAGGAATCCAAGTAAATCATTGTTGACGGGATACTCCCAATGGATGGCAGCCATCTTGGATATTTCAAAATGGATCAAAAAGAAAAGGAAACACAGAAAGTAAAAGCAACGAGATCGTCCCAAAATGAACATGGTGAAGCATTACCACATCAAAAAAAATGCACATGATTTATTTTCAGTGAAATCGGTTGACTTTGTTTTTGACATGCCTTTATTTTAACACGAATAATTTTAAAACCCAATTGAAAATGAAACTAATATTTTAATACCAGGACGATCCCATATAAATTAAGATTTTAAAACGATACTGATTTTTGTTCTTAATGTCAAAGTTTACTGGGTTCCAGTAATGGAGACATCAGAGCTGAAGGTTTTGATGCTGGATATTGAAGTCGGAACTGCCGATCTTGAAATCATCTCAGTATCGTTGGACTTGGCAGGGCTTGTGATTTCCAAACGGTACCTAAAGCGACTGAAGTACGGTGCAATGCCGGAACGAACCTCCTCACGACGAACGCAAAACATGAAGAAGACAACCAGGCCCTTCAATGAAGACAAGAAGAGAACATCACCCCATGCCTGAGATACATCTCGAATTTATATATTTAAAATTCAGCTTCATTCAGCTTAATACTTTTCTAAATTTACCTGCAAGGAGTTGGTCAGACAGAAGATAAGTTGGAAAGCGAAAGTCGCTCCTTCGATGGCCAGAAACCCAAAACACCAGGTCAAGCCCATGAGTGCCGAGATGGCTACGGCATTCTGGAGGCGTTTAGAGATCTGCTGGGAGTGAGAGGCTTCTCTGACATTCACGAGACTGCGCATGACCAAGATGAACGTGATGATGTTATGGATGAGGATCAGACCGATGGGAGCAAGGAGGCCGAGGTACAGCACAAGACCAGGCTCAAGGAAGCAACTGGAAGGATAAAACAAAATGATCATAATTCATTCAGACCCAGTTGTTCTGCTTCAAAACACATCATCCTTAATCTGATATTCTGTGTTGGTTGAGAGTGGTTTAAAATATATTCCAAAATTGAAATTACGTTGACCTCTTACAAACATCGTATCTAACCAAAATCGAGTTGATTTGCAAATGAACCTAAAAGCGTCCCTCTATTAAAACAAAGACAAAATATCTTCTACTTACTAATGCTCGTTACCATAGTGATGTGACGCTGCAGCTAAGGTGATTGTCAAGCCGAACAATGGTGAGCCTAAAAGGGGGAAAGAAAATGAAGTAGTCCAAAAATTGCAAACCATATAATACTTTTCATCACTTGATTTAAATAATTTCGGATGGGAACTCACCCCAAGCGATGAGGCAAGCCTTGAGCATGTATCGAGGCGTGTCTTCTGGGAACACCTTCACCGTACTGACGTACATGTTCCTGGCTTCAACGGCCATCCACATCATAGTGGACAGAGTCAAGTAGTGGAGTAAAGCTGCCACGAACGCACAACCACCTGTGGTGTGCTTTGGGTATCAAAAAGCCATTTGAAGGAAAGTCATTTTCATTTTCTGTAAGGGTCAGTTGAGGGTGTTGGGGTGTTGGAGTGGCTCAAAAATATAGCAGTTTGAATGTTTGAAAAATCTAGCAGTTTAAATGTTCTAAGAACTAACCTTGGCGTTGTCCACGCCGGCAAGGAACACGATGTACAACATGAACAGGGAGAAGCAGAAATGAACGAAGATCTGACGAGATTTGCCGCTTCGTAGCTTCCTGGAAACATAATTAATTTGGACAATTGGAATTTAAATGAAGATTTAAAACAAATGTGGAGAGCTATGCCAGTAGGTGTTTCAGATTGTTTTTAAATTTAACAGTTAAAGATTGATATACCGTAAAATGTGAACACATAATATCTCTACGAGATTACACGTATCGCCACGGTGATGGGCTACGAGGGCGGACCAAAAAGGGTGTCACTTTGTCCATTATTTTAATACCAGACTTGCATTCTCTGAAATATCTATTGCATCCTTTCAAAGTAGCTTCTAATGTCTTCTTTGCACCAATGCATTCGTATCACTCAGACCATCTCGAATCCAACTGAACCACGATAATAGGGGGTCTCACAAATTAAGCCCGCCATACCCCGACCTTCCTAGATGAAAGGGGCATAATCTTGATGGAACAACCATGCACCTACTTAACAAAGGTAGCTCCATGTGACTTCTAGTTGTTTTCTAGGATCAAATCCAAGCTGGGCGGGAGGCCTTTTTCACGAATCCAAGACCTTGCCAAAGCTTTACATTCAGGGTTGAGGACAGTACCAGCTTATGAGTATAAGTTTACCAATATCTTACCTGATAGCTAGGTATATAATCAACGTTATGGCCAGAGCTATGATTGATAATGCACAGCCAACCTGGCTGATGATATCAAGTGCTTTCTGGGCAGGAGCGTTATATATACCATCAGGTACCTGGCCCTTCACATCCTTAGGGAAAAGGAAAACAGTTTTTAAAGATCAATTTTAGACCAAGAGTGGCTAACATGACAAGAGTAGCTAGCTGAATAATTCGACAACAAATCAAATTCTCAAAGTTTGAAACGTATTTTGATAGATGGGATGACTATGACTTTTGATCACGGAAAGATTCTTCAAAGATAACCATGAAGGTGACGATTCTTTCTTCTCATGATACATACCACGAGGATGGCAAAGTTTGTTGCGTGGTCGCAGTTACAGGAGACCTGCTCATTGGGCAGTTGTGTTCGCGCGCAGCCAGCTGGTGACCAATCACCGACTCCGTCTTCAAGTTCAAAGTCCCAGGAAACGCACTGGATCGTCTCTAACTCTTCATTCGTGGTATGATCAGGTGCCTGTCTCGAAAAATCAAACTATTGATTGGATTGTATCTGTTATGAGATATTTTAAAGTTATACAAAGATCAAAGTTTGATTTATGTATTTCTATCACATGACATGAACGACGTTTGGGGACATTAATATTTTTGGGACGTTAACAATTTACACTGCAAACAATTTCCTACTTAGACATGTATTAACTTGCCTTGAATTTGATCACGACTGGCTTAGTAAGGTTGACAAGTTCAGCATTCTCCACAGTCAGTGAGACGACATATCCAGCGACCTTACGAGTCAAGTTGTTCTCCCCTCGATTCTCTCTGATTAAAGTGGACTGGAACAACGTATCGTCAGCGTAGATCAGAAAACTGGCCTGCAGTTGGGCAGAGCTATCACCTACATTCAGATTAATTAAGCTAACGTAATTCAGTCAAAGTGATTGACGGTATTCAGCAATAGTAATCGAATAATGTGCTGTAAATTAGTAAAGGTACATTTCGAGATACAGGTTTTTTCTTGAACTGAATAACGTCCGTGTCATGGTTTCAGATCTTCTTTCATACCTGTTTCCCCTAACAGAGAATTCAACCTCCCCTCAAGAGAATCTATTCTCTTCAGGAAAGCAATCAAAAGCATTGGCCCTAACTGAAGCTACTTACTGTCAGATGATTCAATCGAGTCAATGATTTTCCCTGGTAATTGAACCGATGCCAACACATCGATACCCAAAGGGATGTTGTTGCTATCCATGAACGTCTGGACTTCAGTACCAACAAGTGAGCCCTCTTGTGGTGACCCTTGTCCAGGATGTCGTACAGATACAAAGCTGAGTCCATTTTGAGCCAGTGTTGGATCCACACTGACCGCCTCGACATGAATGGTGTCCTGACGAATACTGAGCTTCCCTTCTTGTCTCAAGGTCAAGGAAACCTGATGCTCTACGGACTGTATGATAGCTGAGGAGTTACCAGCATTGATATCGGGAGTCTGGGAGTCAGGAGTTTTCCCAACACTCATGATGACATTGCTTACAGTCTTCAACACCAATTCAGTAACCTTTGCAAGGACATCAATACGAATGCATTACAATTGAGCTCTTTGGTTATTTTTTTTTTCTTAGAACTATTTTATATGTGGTGGTCCCTTATGGTTGCGTTCTGGTTCGGTTTAATTATCCAATCTCTTGCCAAAGATGATTTGTACTGTGACTTCCAATTTATATCGGAAAACTGAGAGTCATTTTCTGAGCACTCATGGTAACGTGACTAACAGTCCCCGGTACATACTCCCAGCTAGATTTAACTAATTCATTTAGTTAAATAATAAGAGAGGAAACAGTAAATCCCAATACGTAGCATATGAAGTTGTCGTCATTCATAAATCGGGCTCTTCTCGCATGTTTTTTTCCAACACTTGCTTGAAGTAATTTGTTTTTATAACTATCACACACCTCCGTGTCACCAGATCCTGCCCCGACAATGTTCGCAAGAATGTTGGAAACCGCCTCCACATCTTCTGAATCCTCAGATGACGCTGACGTCTGACTGGCCAGAAACTTGACCACTTCAACCACGTTTCCTGTACTAACCTCCACCTATAACCAAAAGATGGTAACTGGATCTTGAATATATATATTTACCCAGAAGGACACATGTTTTAAGCAAGAGATCTGCTTTGAAATACGTTTAGCTTTACGTCTTAGAAATTAAAAACGAATGATTCAAAGTTGAGACTGGATTTTTAAGACTGTAGCTGCTTTCGAACTTATTTATCCTTTATTTAAAAACCCTTGACCGATTTTTTTTTTTAAATTTAGAGACAACTTTACCTGTTCAACGTCCGCAAAGGTAACCTCGTCCCTATTTTCACCACAGCTACGAGGCTCGTGCTCCTCCCATTGGACGTACACAGGAGGCTCTACAACCGAACAGTTCCTCACAGCTCGAGGTTCACCGGCTGATGAGGGAAGTTATTTGTAGAAATACTCGTTTTAAAAAGTAGGCCTATATAAGGGTTGAAATGCCAATAACTATGATGGAGTATATTATTTAAATATAAAAAATAACAAGCTATTGCAAGATGGCGTAGTGTTCTTACCATTAATGGTATCAAGTGGACATCTCTCCAAGGACTTTGCAGTTGATCCTGCTGACGTCACAGGCCATGTCAAACCTGCGTATTTTTCGGTTTCACACTGACCTTAAAACATGGAAAGATAAATTCGGCAGGTTATTAATTAAAAAAATTTGTGAATAATTATTAGTAGCATAAAATCATTCTAATAAGCCGGTGAGAATAATCAAGTTCCCTATCATACTTCCTCTTACTTACGACTTTACCAAACAGGTGCAACAAATTACAACCCCAATGACTTTTTTTGTTACGTCATCTCATCTTAGTTACCCTTTCTACAACAGTGTGCAGTTTGTCCAATAGTTCATAGGCATCGTGGGAAGTTGAGCAAGTTTATTGGCTCTATTGAGTTTAAAATTAGCTCTATTGAGTTCAAACCAGTACTGGCCAATGCATGGGCGCATTTGCTGGACGAACGGTATCTACTGTTACAAAGAAAATAGAAGGCAGAGATAATTTCTTACACGAGTCATTTCTAAAGGCAACAACAATGTCTTCCAAACACTTTGTTCCAATAATTTTCAAAAGTAGCAAAAGATATGTAACACATCAGGTTTTCACATACCTGTAACTGTAATGCAAAACTTGCAGATGTTCTCATTCCCAGACTGATCTCTAGCTGTGTACCTCACCATAGACACCCCAACCGGAAATGTACCTTGACCAGCTTGGTAACATTCACCAGGCGGGGGTACCTGGCAGGTAAATGTCACATCTACCTCGGTATTGGAGTTGTCAGAGGTCATTGGAGGCGTCCACCTATGAGACGCTTGGTTGGAAGATGAGATGACGGGAATGATGACGTCATCCGGACAACCGAGGACTTCAGGGGGTTCGTGATCTATAAGGTGAAACAAAACATTTGACTGACGAAAAAACAATCAATATTGTCTGTTGAAGCTGTAAAAACACAATTATAATCAATATACAAATACCCCGTTGTGAATATAACTTCTCTTTGCAAATAAACCAAATCAAAATCTGAATGATTAAGTTTACAACATCTCAGGCAAGTTATACAGTGTACGGTTTAGCCAAGAATTCATGTGCCTCTTGGAACTTAAGCAAGTTCAACCTCACTGTACACATGAAATGTTAGCTAAGACTTTGGACGCTTTACATTGTATCTATCTACCTATTTCAATTTCCGACGGACTTTTACATCTGAGTGTTTCACTGAGATCATGATCATGAACTACGGTGCCAATGTTCTTGTATCAAGAAAAGGAAAGCAACATACCAACAATCTCAATGTACATGTCACATGATGCCCAATTGTTAAAGTCATCAAAGGCGGTGTAATGCAACAAATGTGGCGACCCCAGAAGGCTCAAAATGACGTCATCGTTAGCCTGATAATTGTAATTTTGCGCAGAACCATCTAACTTGATGAATACGGCAACCACGTCAGAGTTATCAGAAACCGAAGCAGCTGCGGGTAGTGAGACTGTAGCAAAGTTTTGGCCTGAATCAGTCTCCACTGTCAATCTTGCTGGGCATGTAATGACAGGAGGTTCGGTATCTGTTGAAATGAATACATACAAAATATAATTCACTCCACAAAGTTCAATGCATTGAGATTTCCCTTGAAGTGGTCTCACTGAAATTCACTTTGCTACACATTTCAATGTTGATTGGTCCAATGTCACACAGCATACATACCCAATGGAGGAAAGGTAGCGTCAACATCAGTGTTGCAAGTCACTCCTGCATCGTTGGAGTGCGGACACTGTTGGTGGTTAAACCATCCACTGTGCTCGCATTGGTCAATGCTTTCTTCGGTTCCCTTACAGGCAACGTCGTTGAGTAGAATAGGCCCTGATCCTCGGCCAAAGTGAGCATTCCACCAAGCCTGGGATGCAGAAGGGTAACCGAGCTGTCGACAAATGACATCGGCATCTCTGATGCTCCAACCACTATGGCAGATTGTACCCCAGAAGCATTTGTAGTACACTTCCACTCTTCCTTCATTCGGCATGTTCCCGTTCACCAGGCGGACTGAAACTGGCAATTATCGGAAACATTGTCGTAATCAATTTTCTTCCGGTACATCACACTACAAATAACATCAAAGGAAACACATTGGACGCACTTAATTCTCTTTATGAAACAACTGCCGTAGATTGTATTGGTCTCCTTCATAAAGAAATCACATTAACAGTTGTGTACAGAACTTTTTCTGTCTACAAATTCAAACCATTCCTCAGGAGAGAGGAATAAAATTTGTTTTAAAAGGTAAAACGTAATTTCCATGTTAAGAAAAGTATTTTGGTCAGTGAAAGAATCAACAGGTATGCAATTGTATAGGCCTATTTAGGACATAATGTTTAAGGGAATTGTCCATAAAACCGCTAGATTCTTTCACTTAACTATCTTACCTGGTTCAGAGGTTGCATTCATATTGTTATCTCCACAGGTAACTCCAGCATCGTCTTCATGAGTGCAGCTATTATGCAACCATCCACTGTGGTCACATTGTTCAATGCTGGACTCGCTGCCATTACAAGTAACATTGCTCAGGACAATAGGTCCTGATCCTTGGCCAAAGTGAGCACCACGCCAGGCTAGTGATGCAGGAGGCAGGCCAAGCTGTCGACAGATGACGTTGGCATCTTCAATGTTCCAGCCATCATCACAGATTGTACCCCAATGGTCTTGGTAGTACACTTCTACTCTACCTTCGTTAGGGTTGCTACTATCGGCAAGACGCACCAGTACTGAAAAGAGAAACAAGTCGTATGTTTAAATTACATCTCAACCACTATATAATGGCGAGTGAATTGACGGTAACCAAATGTATATTATGTAACTATCCAAAATTTTTTACACTTTGACATCAACGATTCACGCCATCAAACAATGAAACGGTAAACGTTGAAGTGAATACTAAATGTGTAGAACTGAAATTCATGACGTGAACAATAAAGCCAAGAGAATAGTTCGGCTTTATGTTACCCAACCGACCCTAGTTTTAGGCCGCGATCCTAAACATTTCATCTGCAAGTCAAAAAAAGTAAATGAATAAATAAACTAAAAAACAAACCCTGTTGTTTTTTGTCTCCAAAATACAAAAACCCTCTTAATAACTCTCTTGCGTCAAAAATGCTTGTATTTATTTGTTTGCCTACTTATATTCGCTACCTTTTTAAGGACGAAACCTCTGTTGTCTTTACAAGTTCGCTTCGCAATAACTAGTTCATACGTAAGGCCAAAACAAAAAAGTCTCCGGTTTCTGGTCTGCGCGCGCGCGCAAAATTAAAAAAAAAGTTTGGTTTATTTTTTTTCCAATGTAAGACGATGTCTAAAAACAGCCAAACTCACTGGGTTGACTGGAATCCTGCAAGCTCCACCCTGAAGGATATTTTTGAGAGTTTTAAGGGGATCTAAGCGTCATCTGCAACCTCAGTCGTCCATTTGAAGAAAACAAAGTTGTGGGGAAAAAAAACGCGTCGCCGCATCACTTTTTGGACAAGCTCCATAACAGAAACTGGAGATTGTTTTTTGCTGACGCCCAATGCATTGCATGTAGCGATTTAAAGGGCAAAGAAGGCATGATGCGGAAATGCGGTAACCAGTCTATGCGTGGCAGTGGTGCACTGCAGTTGCAGTAGCAGGTCGGATTAGACATTGTTAAAATGCCAAGAAAGCACCGATGGAGAAAGAATTTTTCAAAGTAAATTCACAGGACTTGATCTCTCTTGTCTGTGTACGTATTTTCCGTGTTCATGAATTTATTTCGAGGTCGTACTAGTCGTACACGGAGTGATACGATGGAGCGTGTTACACCGAAATTTCCTACTGTAAAAACGAGGTTCGTCGCTCGCCACACACAGTTCATCACGCACGCTTATATCGCGCGATGTACCGAAAGTGTTCGCCAGTTTCCCGTCTTGACTAGCGTTGTGCTATGGTGTGCACGACCTGAATTTTCCATTATTTTAAAGAATTATCGACTGTTAATATTTTGACAGGCTAAAATTCGCATATAATTGAATACCCCATTCACTCAGCACTGCAAAAATTGCCCCCCCCCCCAAAAAAAAAAATACAACCTACCGACCCTATTTGTGAAAGGTATGTAATCGGAGGCAACACTTTTTTTTGCCTTATTGGCCTAGTATAGGACAAAAGCGAATAACATACCTGGTGAAAAAGCTGCTACGTCACACGTTACTCCAAAATCATTATCATGAGTGTCACAGTATTGAATAAACCATCCTGCGTGGTCACACTGATCAATGTTGGATTCGTCCCCATCACATTTAACATTGGCCAGGAGGATCGGCCCTGTTCCTTGACCAAAGTGAGCATTCCGCCAGGTCTGGGATGCAGAAGGGTAGCCAAGCTGTCGACAGATGACGTTGGCTCCCTTTATGTTCCAGCCAGTTTCCCAGTTACTCTGACAAATAGTTCCCCACTGACATTTGTAGTAAACTTCCACTCTGCCCTCATGTGGCGTGTTCCCGTCTGCAAGTCGGACTAACACTATATCGTCGATATCATAAATGAAAACATGCTTCCGTTAAAATATATATGTAGCACGAGGCTCTTAGCGAATATTGCACCAAACAAAGAATTTAAATAACGATTTTTTTCTGCTATAAAAACCGGACATTTGTTGTGTCCCTGTTAATTACACCTGACTTGTGAATTTTGCCATGAGTTATCATTAAAATTGACTTCACACTATTTTGTATTTGCGTGGCAGGTGCTTTGCTATATATAATCACTCTTGGGACTGAAGGCATTAACTAATGTGTCCTGAAATGCAATATCTTATACATGTCAGATGTAAAACGGACACAACAGATTAGACCCAAATCAATTGACCCAATTACAACATCATTTTTGGAAATATCCAAAAAAGTTACCAGGTGGAAGGGTTGTAGGATTGCAGGTTGCTCCCACGATGATATCATCATAATAGTAATGATCCGTGTCATCAAAAATGCTCGTGTAATCACATTGGTCAATTTTCGACTCATTTCCAATGCATGCGACATTCGTGAGGAGAACCAGGCCTATCCGTTGGCTATAGAAGTCGTACATCTTGGCCTGGGATGCCGACGGGTAGCCAAGCTGTCGACAGACAACGTTGGCTTCTTTGATGCTCCACTGATAGCTACTGATGGAACCCCACTGGCATTGATCATATACTTGAACGATCCCTTCATGAGAAGTGCCCCCATCAACCAAACGAACTGAAACTTTTAGAAAAAAAAAATCCACATTAACTTGTTGCTATTAAATTACAGTTGAATATTAAAGCCTCCGAATTGATAACAGTTATTAAACCGTCGTTGCCCAGAAACGGGTATAACCCAACAACATATAGGGACATTTATTACCCAGGAAAGAACCTAGATATTTAATGAGAAAAACAAAATCCTTCAAATTAAAAACTGTTTTACGATATTTTCAGATTGAAACTTATAAGATATTTGTTTAATACTGCTAGGATTACTCTTCAGTTCGGATCTTGGAGTCATATATACATGGGCGTCGCGAGGGGGGGGCAAGGGGGGGGGCACTTGCCCCCCCCCCCCCTGGAAAAGCAAAAAAAAAAAAAAAAAAAAAAAGGAAGAAAAAGGAAGAAAAAAAAAAAAAAAAAGAGGCGCGAAGACAAAGTGGTGTAAATTTAATGGGTTGGGGGGGGGGGCAAAATGTCCCTGCCCCCCTCTAAAACTGATAAATCGAGAATGTGTTGAGAAATACAAGCATTTTTTGGCAAAAAATTTTTTTGCCCCCCTCTAGAAAAAATCCTGGCGACGCCCATGCATATACACCAACTGGCTGGATGCGAATCATCTCACGAGTGCTGATTTATTGTCAAAGTGAGGGAAACATTCAAAATAAATATCCAAAGTGTCCAGGTTTTCGTGGTTTCTTAAAGGGGCATTACGGCCTGAAATGCCCGAAACTGTCATATTTGGGATTGTATACTTATCCTATTTCAAAGGTCTAGTTTAACCGTGAAAGAGCTGGGGGAATCCCCTCCCATTTTTCCGCGATACCTTTTCCTTTTTTTTTTCCAGACCCCAGCCTTCCTGAATATTTTTCCTCTGGTCTTGCGCATCTTTTGATACCAAAATCATAAAATTCCGACCACGGGCTTCCGCGCAGACAAACATTTTTCGATGAAAACTGAAATTTTCCCCATATGTTGCATACACAAACCTCCAAAACCTTCGAGCTTCAAGCGCAAAAAAATGACGCGGTGGAACCACATGGAGAATTTTATCACCACACTGTTTTTAGGTCAATAACCCCCGCATGCCTGGACATGCACAAGATATAGGTCATTCACATGGCCAGGGCTGTTTACAGCCTGTCTGAGCTCTGGGCGGCACGAGGGTTGACAAAAAGAGCTCGGCGGCACAAAGAGGGTGACCACTAAGATCTCCAATTTAATTACTGCACAAAGGCATTAGGCGCCATCCTGGCTGCCGTCTTTCAACACTCCTTACTCTGGAGTGGCTAGGATCTGGCCAATGGGAGTCTACAGGCTTGTGGTGTATAGTAGGGGTGAGGATTACATGGAAGCTTTGCCTTATTGGCCAATTGAAAAAAAATATGACCATATTTGGAAAATGTGGAGAATTGTATCACCGCCTCGCTTCTCGAAGGGTTCCTGTAGTCATGAAATTTCTTGGGTATGTTCATGTCAAGTTGTTTTTCGTCAATCAATGGCCGAGATCTGAGGGGGAAGGGGTCGTAATCCTCCCCCGGCTGAGAAATGATTTTAAAAAATCCTGGCCCCTTACGTTTTAAAGAAAACTAAGCTAATATCTTACCGTTTCCGAGGAAGAGAAGACTAACCCCAGGACTCGGCGGATATTTTGTGGCATAAGCATGCGCATTTCAAGCCGTCTCCATAAAATGTTTTGTACACGTTGTGAGCATGTCATATAATATAGTTTCCTACACGTCCGCAGAATGCGAACCACGGAGCGGCAAGATTCACAACTAGCAATCAGCAGCTCGATTTTTTTCGGAATCAAAATTGTGACCCGAACAACTACTATTAAATGCTCTGTCCAATTAATACATTTTGTTTAAAACGCACTTTGCCGGTCTTAATGTCCCTTTAAATGACTGGGTAAATCACTGAGGTTAATCTACAGGTTAATTGTCATGTAATGGACAAGGCGTCCAAGAAAACGCTCAATTGGTCAACAAAAAGATTATTTCAAGAAATGCTATTAGTTGTTAAGGCCATTTACCCCCCAAAAGCCATAAACGTCCCCACAATCATATTTAAAAGGGACCATTTTGTGTGATTTGTCTCTCAAAAACGAGTTGTTTTGGTGCTAGTCGTGATTGCAAGCGCCCCTGACTTTTATGAAAACGTCGATTAGGACGAATGCGAGTTCATATCTTTGGAAAATATATATTTACTAATTTACATTGAAAAAAAAAAAACCTCCATTTTGTTTAAATATTAATAAAGTTAATGAGAAAATGGGATCTTATGGTTACGTACGCTTCCATCGCTCGGGCTGTGCTAGCTACCTGATGTCAAATGCGTACATACACGTATGCGTACGTGTATGGTACAGATACAGGTACCGGCGCATAACATGCAGCATGGGGACGTGCGGGAAACAGTCAATATGTTGAATCGTCTGTCATCTCGGCGTCAAACTCGGCGTCATAATGGATTCTACATTTATATTATATTGCATGTCTCACAATGGACAGCAAACAATATCAGAAACCTCAGCAAAATTAGTAAACATCTCTCGAAATCAGCAGAGCAACTGGTACATGCCTTCATTACCCCTCTCTCTGACATGTGTAGCTCCATTCTCCATGGCATTCATCAACAAGTGGTGAACCAACTCCAGCATAGGCAAAATACCACAGCTCATCTCTCTTTTATTTTTTTTACCGCCAATTTATGAGCGCCCATTATTAGCTGGATGTGTGCGCTTTTTAGTTATCATGGTAATTATTATTACATCATGGACACACAATTAAGTTTTGGGCAAACTTCTCGTCCATGAAGTACACTTATTTACAACGTATGAGTATTCCACAAAATGTCTGCTGCATCAGAAGTAATCGAATGGGTATTTTTCGTCTTTTCTCAGGAACAGTGATACAATAGGTTAGTATTCTTTATATCTTTGAATATGGTAAGTAAACATTGTAAAACAGCTTTTAAAGCATTTTCAGAACGATGTGCCCCCTGAAGATTGTTTTCAATCAAATCTATAGCTTCATGTGAAGAAAACAATCACAAAATGCAACATATCGATTGTACCTTTAGGCCAAACAAAGGCTCTGGTTTCTGGTGTGCGTGCGCGTCGCCGTAGCCATGCGCGTCGTCAAACATCAACGTTTATTTTACAATGTAAGATGATATCTTAAACCGCCAAACTCACAGATTTGGCTCGAATCCTGCTGCTGCATAATATTAATGTGCTTTTAGATGGGGTTACGATCGGGTATTAGCTTTATTTGGCTTATCTGGGCTCCCATATATTTTGCACAGATATAGTCGGGCACCATTTGCAGACGGTGTTGTAGGTATTTTTGCGATTGTGTGTGTGGAAGCCAGCGTGTGTGTGTAAGCGATGGTCGTGTATCTGGAACCTGTAAACGTTTTTTAATTACCGCAATATGTAAGGGAGCAGACTAATGACCAGCCTGGCAGCACAGGCTCGCTGTCGGTGACGCTGTGTGGTCTGACGTTACCGTTTTCTCTGATTTTTGTCTTGACTATCAAATGTCCCTAAGTATGTTCGTGTCGGTCGGGATCAAAAGTGGGTGCAGAATTCTCAAGCCTCATGGCCTTACTGAGGTCACCTAGCTCCACTCTGAAGGATATTTTTGAGAGTTTTAAGGGGATTGAAGCGTCATCAGCTGCCACATCAGCCGACATTTGACAAAAAGTAGGGGGAAAAGCGCGTCGCTGCACCACTTTTGGGGCAAGCTCCATACCAGAAACCGAAGACTTTTTTTGGCCCTAAGGGAACTGGCATATAAATAAAGTCTATATATGTGTATAAACTCACCCGGTGCACGGGTTGTGATATTACGTGATTCTCCGCAAGTAACTCCAACATCGTCCGCAGGATTGCAGTTATGGCTGAACCATTCATTATGTTCGCATTGGTCAATGCTTGACTCGTTGCCAATACAGGTAACATTGCTTAGGAGAATAGGTCCTGATTCTTGGCCAAAGTGAGCACCACGCCAGGCCTGTGATGCAGGAGGGAGGCCAAGCTGTCGACAGATGACGTTGGCATCTTCAATGTTCCAGCCATCATCACAGATTGTACCCCATTGGTCTTGGTAGTATACTTCTACTCTCCCTTCATAAGGGTTGCTACCATTGGCAAGACGCACCAAGACTAAGAGAACAAGACATGTAATCCGACTATGCCTTTTTATATAACACTTTGTTAATTGAGGATAATCGTCAAAAAGGTTTCTCTATTGAAACAATCTACCGATGCCCATATTCATATGATGCAATATGACAATTTCATTAAGAAATTCATTATCGCGCCCTAAATCTGGTCTGCAGCTTCCCCATCTCGCCCAACCGACTGTGGCAACTATGATCCCTAGCTGTTCAACTTTAACATTCCTTCCTTAGATTTCCTCGATGTTTTGAAGGACCAACTCACCAGGTAAAAAGGGAAGTGTAACATTACACACCACACCAACATCATTCCAACGGTCATAATCAGGGTAGCCGTAGTAGTCATTGGCTGCATACCATCCGTTGTGGTCACATCTGTCGATACTTGACTCGTATCCATCACACTCAACGTTGCTCAAGACAATAAGTCCTGATCCTGGACCAAAGTGGGCATAACCCAAGGCCTGCATTGCAGAAGAGTAGCCGAGCTGTCGACAGATAACGTTGGCATCTTCGATGGTCCAGTGATGATCACTTATTGTACCCCAATAGCACTGATAGTAGAGCTCCACTCTACCTTCATAAGGAGTGCTGCCATCGACAAGGCGTACCAACACTTTAAAAGACAAAATTGACACATATTTGGGTTAAAAGTATCAAGTTAGTTTGAATAACAATGCAGGGGCGGATCCAGTAATTTTTGCGGTGGGGGGGGGGTCTCATCAGCAAAACAATCTGAAATGTAAACAGGGTTTTTCATTTGGACACTTGCACTCTGAAAATCAATAGGTGGGGGTTGGGGTTAGTACCATACTTTAAATGGGGGCGCTGTTCAAATCTGACGATTATTAACACTATATTACTATAGTGTTCAAATACTCCCTAACCCAGCTGGATCTGTCCGTATTTTTCCAGAGTCAGAAATTATTAACAGTATAATTTGTTGGGTTGTCACAGCAGGGGGCCACATTATTTTTCAGACATTTCTATGAAAAAAAACCAATACGGAAATGGGGGAGGATTTGACCCCCTATCTTCCCGCGATCCGCTCCTGCAACGATGTATACAAGTGTGAATGTTGAACACTAAAGTGTGGAAATAGGATAAAAAAAAACCAAAGAATGTGGACCGAAATTTATCGAAATTGTCACATCTTCATCGTCGGTTGATTATGACATTTATTCATCAATGAAATAATATCTCTAAACTGAAACGTTTACGTATACTTATGTTCTGTCCGGCATCCTGAAGGAAAATCACTTACCTTAAGGATGTCTGAAACAGCTTGAGTTTTTTTTTTGAAACACTTCTACACGTATTACTTAAGATGTTGAATCCCAAACATACTGCAAAGATAATCTTAACTGTTTAAAATCACATCCCACGGTCGTTTCGCTTGTTTCACCCATAATACCGTCGGCCTCCGCAGGACTTGATTCCGATTTAATGAAGTTTAAAGAAGAACGAGAAATGAACTTTCTCTAACCAATTGCCCACATAAAGAATGACGATACGTCATCAACTCACCAGGTGTCGGAATGGTAAGGTCACAAGTTACTCCGACATCATAGTAATGATTGCAGTAATGACTATCCCAGCCACTGTGATCACATTGATCAATGTTCGATTCATGTCCATCACATGCAACATTCTCAAGTAGAATCGGTCCTGATCCTTGACCAAAGTGAGCATCCACCCAGGCCTGGGATGCAGAAGGGTAACCGACCTGTCGACAGACGACGTTGGCCTCTTCTATCCTCCAGTTGGAACCACAGATGCTTCCCCATTGGCCTCTGTAGTACACCTCAACTGCGCCCTCATTAGCTGCTCGTCCATTAATCAGACGTACAAATACTATGATTGAAAATAATACCGCCTTTTTTTTAGTAGTACATACATGTTATTAGGAACCCAATGTATACCTGGCTAAAAACCATTTCGAAAGAAAAACTAGCTTCAGATAATCGTAACGTCAGATAATAAATTTCCAGTCAAGAAAAACACACATTCTAAAACCGTGCACAACGCAGCCTACTGGGGCTAGATTGATAAACGATACAGTACCAGTACTGCACTCAGAGAGATTGAGGAAAACGTTTAATAAAGAATGTGTAGGCCTGCTTGTTTACTAATTAAGTATGATTATACCTAATTATAACTAACCAGGTGGAGGTAATGCTAAGTCACACGTTACTCCAGCGTCGTCGTAATGACTGCATCCCGAGCTAACATACCACCCATTGTGATGGCACTGGGCTATGCTTGATTCATTGCCCTGACACGCAACATTGTTGAGGAGAACTGGCCCTGTTCCGTGACCAAAGTGAGCATACCGCCAGGCCTGGGATGCAGAAGGGTAGCCGAGCTGTCGGCAGACGACATGGGCATCTCTGATGGTCCAGCCATTGCTGCAGATTGTACCCCAGTGGCATTTGTAGTACACTTCCACTCTACCTTCATTAGGTGCATCCCCATTCACAAGCCGTACTGAAACTAGAACAAAAACCGTTTTAATTCAACAATTGCGTTTACCTCGTGGCCATTATTTTTTTACTGGTTAGTACTTATATGGCACTTAAGATGGAATAGTCTCACCTGTTAATGGGTTTAAGAAATCACAAGTCACACCAACATCCTGGCTATGATCACAGTTATTGTTCAACCATCCGCTGTGATCACACTGGTCGATGCTTGATTCTGTGCCATTACAACCAACACTATCCAAAAGAATTAAACCTGAACCTTTCCCAAAATAGGCATTCTGGGGGGTGGGTGATGCAGAAGGATAGCCGAGCTGTCGACAGATGACGTTTGCATCTTCGATGCCCCATCCATTACTACAGATCGTACCCCATTGGTTTTGGTAGTACACTTCCACTCTGCCCTCATAAGGCGTGGCTCCTTTGACAAGACGAACTGGGACTGAATGAGAAAGGAGACTCAGTTACGGGACGAAGATTAATGCAACTGATTAACAACATTATTATTGACAATGTACCATATTTATTTCATTACATAATAATATGCATTTTTTCTGTATGGAAAACGTAGACAATTTCTTATTAAGGCTAGGGAAGAGATTAACTTTAGTTTCCCAGTGCAACCGTTAATGATATTCATCCTCCATGTGAAAGATATTGTCGAGCGGCATTGTGTTCTCATGTCTACGTTAGTAAATTGATTCGCAAATTAATTCAATACAGAAATTAAAGTGCAGTTTCAGTGGAAATAGGGATGACCATACAGCCAAATTACAAACTTGCACAGGCGTGATTACTTGAAAAGCGATTCGGTCGGGGGGGGGGGGTTCGACACCATAACACTAGGGGCGCTGCTCATGATAAAAACAGTGCATTGGGAACTTTTGTATATCGTTGTTTCCTTTGATTTTCATCGAAACAAATTAATAATAGATTTGGGTTACTGCAAAATATTAGATAACCTCAAAATCAGCATTTACTTTCTGACCACATACATTGGGTGGGGGATCCAATTGCCCAAACCCAGGACAAAAGAGTAGTGGTATCATCCCCAGCCCCGCCAGTGTAGTGCTTCATTGGAACTACCTGTGTTCTACTCATTTTACAGTTTTACACTTACGGGAAAAAAATAATATGAAACCTGCAGCAAAATTAATTCACAAAAGGTATATTTATGAAAAAGACATCAGACTTAATCTTACCAGGGGAAGTGGTGTCTCCACTACATGTCACCCCAACGTCATTTCTATGGTAACATGCACCGTACCATCCTGTGTGCTCACACTGTTCGATACCGATTTCAATTCCATTACATGCAACATAATCCAGTCGAGTCGGTCCTGACCCTTCACCAAAGTGAGCATTCCGCCAGACATGTGACGCGGAAGAGTAGCCGAGCTGTCTACAGATGACATTTGCCTCTTTTAAGCTCCAGTTATTACTACAGATTGTTCCCCAATTGCACTCGTAGAACAGCTCAACTCTTCCTTCATTAGGGGCGTTCCCATCGGCAAGACGAACTGGAACTAGTACAAGAAAAGCGCAGTTTTCAAAAATCATAACAGACAGGAACATGCGTTAAGTATTGCCATTTGTGCAAAAACCAGTTTATTCCTGCCAGACTAGACACGTTAATTAATAGCTACCTGTAAAGCTAGCGTCTTTGCGATACTTCAGGTTCCCCCCCCCAAAAAAAAAAAACACCTCCATCTTGAAATCTAGATTATGACCATTCAGCGGGCGCCTTCTATCGAGACTGTTGTAATCCATGGTTGTATACCCCCTCCCCCCCCCAAAAAAAAAGACATCAAATCGACCATTCATCAGCTTATTTCACATTACTGCCTGAAATTACGTCACATTTCCCGAAGTCGACTCCGATTTGCTGGATGTCGGGGTCACAAATGCTCACAATATCAAACGTTGTTGCGGAGCTTGCGTGTTGGCTCCGTTGAACAACGGATGATACACAGACTACCGGTTCAGCCTGTCTTGTCATAGTCCCTGAAAGAAATGGCTTGAATTATTTAATAAGTACTTTCTACAGCTTCAAAACCTGTCGTTGTTCACTTACTTGGGGAAGCAATTGTTACAAGGCATGTCACTCCAGCATCTTCTCCGTGGTAGCAGTTATGGAGGAACCATCCTCTGTGATTACACTGATCAATGCTGTATTCGTGTCCAGTGCAGGCGACATCATCCAGTAAAATAAGCCCTGATCCTTGACCGAAGTGAGCATACCGCCAGGCCTGATATGCAGAAGAATAGCCGAGCTGTCGACAGATGACATTGGCATCTTCAATACTCCAGCCATCGTCACAGACTGTACCCCAGTTACACCCATAGTACACTTCCACTCTTCCTTGATTGGGTGTGTTCCCACCCACGAGACGCACCAGAACTAATGGCAAAGAAACATGCATAGAAGGCAGCAATGATGTTAATACGAACAAAACATTGTCTGCTGCCCTCAAATACCACTGTCCGTATAAATATTCCAGTAGATATGTTAATTTTGTTCAGGTAGGTGCTACTCAACTGGTTCCGGTCCCCGATTTCGCGAGGCTGCAGAACAAGTAAATGTTTTAGACGTTGGGATTTGCCTTTCAGACTACAATTCCCTTAAAAAGTCTTCCAAAGGCAAGAATCGGCAAAAAAAGTAACATTCCATTTCATTGAGAAGTATGCACTTGACGTTTTGGGAATGTAACATGGGAAGGTAACATGGAATCTAACTCGGGGACCGGTTTCGGTCAGTTTCCTTATTTCATTTATTTTTTTGAAATAATACTTGCTGTTCTTTTTCAAAAGCTGAACACATTGACGTGTGCCAAGTCTAGGGTGTCATCCATGCGCGAAGCTGTTATCGTCATTTTTCAAAAGTAAACAGTCATACTGCGCACGCGCAGAGGTTATCCAATCATCAATGACCTTGAATGGGGACTAGGTATGGGTCCCAATGTTATGGATGGTGGGGACCAGTATACTGAAAGTGGTTACCTGGTGAAGAGGTATTGACAATGAGTTGCTCCCCACAAGTCACTCCGGCATCTTCTGCATGACTGCAGCTGTGATTGAACCATCCACTGTGTTCACATAGGTGTATGTTTGATTCGGTGCCATTGCAAGTAACGTTACTCAGAAGAATCGGTCCTGATCCTTCACCAAAGTGACTACCCTGCCAGGCCTGTGATGCAGGAGGATAGCCGAGTCGTCGGCAGACGACGTTGGCATCTTCAATGCTCCAGCCATCATCACAAATTGTACCCCACTCTCCGTTGTGGTTTATTTCTACTCGTCCATCAAACGAGTTACTGCCATTTGTTAGACGAACTGTGACTGAGGGGGGAAAAGGCAGAACAAAACAGTTTGATGTAAAATGACTTCTACAGGGTGATTAAAAAAAGAAAAAGACATAGATTAATTCCCAAATTCAAAAGAGCATGCACGGGTACGCCAATGGAGCGTGTATTAAACGGGCATGTGCTTCCACCACTAGGCCTATACGAAAATTGATCAATGCCATCAGAAGTTATGCATGATTCACTAAAATAACCCACTGGTATACAACCGTCTTAAGATAATTGTGTTAAAAGCTTTGAAGCTATTCAGCTGACTGAGAACCAGAGATTACACACAGGTATTTTAAATTCCAATCAGATTTTAATCTTTAAGTCAGATTTGTGTAACATGTTTAATGAGGAACGAATCACGCTTGTTTTTTTTATATTAAGTCAGTTTCCTTTTTGAGATTTTTTTTAATTACAGACGATTTTTAATAGAAAGGTCGTCTTTTGGCTATTCGCCTTAAGGTGATCAACTCACCTGGATTATCTAATGTATCGTTACAAGTGACTCCAACATCATAGTCATGAAACCCACAGCCATGATTGTACCATCCATCATGATCGCATTGTTCAATGCTTGATTCACTGCCACGGCATCTGACGTCGGCCAGGAGTATTGGTCCTGATCCCGGACCAAAGTGAGCATCCCGCCAGGCGTCAGTTGCAGACGTGTAGCCGAGCTGTCGACAGACGACATTAGCCTCTTCAATACGCCAGTCATGATTACAGATAGTACCCCAGTTACAGCGGTAGAATATTTCTACTCTCCCCTCATGCGCCGCGTTCCCACCAGCCAGACGGACTACTAATGAAAAGAATTGCAAAATTTATTTGTTAGGCCAAAAAAAAAAAATACCCGTTCTCTGGTCAGCGCGCGCGTCGATTTTAATCATGCGCGTTAACCTTTTTTTCTTCAAATTAACTCGGAAGCCACAACAGCGCCCTCTATTGCCGCACCTTTTCAATTGTACCTAGGAGCACCAAGGAATGGGGAAATTGCACCAAGGCAAATGATAAAGGGCACCAAGGCAAATTATGGAGGACACTAATGTTTAATGAGGACACAAAAAAGCAAAATAGTACCAACCTTGTCTGTACAATTCAAGCTTGAAAAAAAAAAAAAAACAAACAAACAAACCCGTCGCCACATCAATTCCGGAACTTCGGTCTGACCAGAGACCGATTATTTATTTTTGGGGGCCTTAGAAGGCATTATATTCATTTAAATTTCGTTCGGAAAAGAAAATCGAAGTTTTGAAATAGCACGTATATACCAACTTTGACATGATTTTTTTTTCCCGTTCAGTTTATGTTTATATCACGTTAAAAAAGTCTATTATTGTAATACCTGGTGACGTCACGATGACGTCACTGTAATAAGTACTTCTCTGTGTCAGGATGTTCAGTCCAAGTTTCAAGTTTCAGATATGAACCGTTTTGAAGACAAGTTGCGGAGAATAATACCATTGTCCAAATCATCCCCCAACTTGAAAAAGTGAGGTTAATAGCCTGATCACCCAACAAAAGTATTAAGTGCCCCAAAATGTTCCAACAATACTAGCAAATTCATATTAATTTCTAATTGGGTTAATTTGAGCTATTTTGAGCTAACCAAAATCTCAAAATGGCCGCCCTGGCGAAATAGTAATCTGCCCGGGCGAAACAGCAATCTGCCAGGGCGAAATAGTAATCCGCCCGGGCAAAATAGTAATCCACCAGGGTGAAAAAGTACTGCGTCCGGGCAAAAAAGCAATCCGCTCAGGCAAACTACTAATCCGCCCGGCCGCGGCGAAATAGTGGGCTTGAAATGTTTTCCGGTCATGTCCTAAGTACGCTTCCGAAATACGCACTCTATTTTTGGAAGTCACATTTTGGGTGACATGTATGCAATGCACACACATGCATTCGTGTATTTCGCTGCCACTCAAGTTGACGTTCGCCCAGTTTTTGTTACGTCAAGCAATATGCTCAGGCATTCCATTATTGCCGGAGAGGTCTCAAGTGCGCGTAAACTTGGAACGCATACAGCGCCAATAATGTGTTAGTGGCGTGAAAGTGACGTTGAGCTTTGCACTTACCCGGAAAGACTGTGTCAGATTCACAAGTTACCCCAACGTCACGATTATGATTGCAATCATAATTGAACCATCCTGTGTGATCACATTGATCAATGCTAGATTCATGTCCATCACAGTTCACATTGGCAAGGAAAATAGACCCTGATCCTTCACCGAAGTGTCTATCACGCCAGGCCTGGGACGCAGAAGGGTAGCCGAGCTGTCGACAGATGACGTTAGCTTCTCTTATGTTCCAAATGTTACTGCTGTATTCATCGTAACTGCAAATCGTTCCCCATTGGTTTTAGTAAAGGATTTCCACTCTGCCTTCGTTGGGTGTGTTGCCATTCACCAAACGTACCGGAACTGCAGAGTTACAATTTGAACCAGAAAAAAAAAAAACAGGTGAAGCCTTTACATTGTAATCTTATGGATCCCTTCACGTAGGCCTATATGTGACGGATTTGCTGCTTTCAATCCAAATAAGAAATAACTTGCGTCAAAATGACAAGGACTTTGATGTTGCATTGTTTCCAAAAGAGTACAAATTAATTCCCTCTGACTAAAATTGGGGAAAATAATAAGCGCAAAATCTATTCGATTAACCATCTTTTTCTCGCGATTATTTAGATACTTTAACCACACTGCATTTTGATCTGTAATAAGGGTGATTTCCGTGCCAAATTGTTTAGTCTCAAGTTCAACTCTTTTTGAAATAAGACAGTGCAGCTGAATCTCAGTCACATATCTCAGTCCATCATAGTTTCCCGGAGTTTCTTTTGCTCCCAATCAACGACAATGTGAGCTTTTACTGCACATTTCTATGCGAATTAATTTTGCCTGCTGAAATAACTTTTGTTAAAATCTCAGTATTGACAACAAAACGATGCAGTGCAAAACAAATTGTCAAAACAGCTTCAAACCTCAATCTAACTTTAATATAACATTTTTAAAGCCAGTATTTTAAAGCTGTATTGTTTTAGATATAATTTTTCCAAATGCCGACACCTGTGGATTGTTTTCACTGATATACTGATTATAAATGAGACAAATATCCTGTATATGGTCTGTAAAGGAGCCAATAACCTGGGTGTTTTGTTCAATCTTTATATATATTGATGAAATAAAGATTGTAATGTAATATATGAAGAGTAAAAAAGAAAGAAAACAGAATTAACTTATACACTGGGTGTCATGCTTGTTATACTGAGTTTATATATGGAAAACAATTGCATTTTACCTACATGAGCTGCATTGTCACAAACGCTTGTAATTTAAATAGCACACAACACCGCATAGAGAAAGCACTCCGATTTCCCACCAATCAGACCCATGCTAGGGCCTACACAGTAAGTTGATCCACGAGGGATACACCAAAGTTCAACCAATGGCTGTGCTCTTCGGTCAGTTCTCAATACTTTGTCTAAATTCGTCTTTCAATTGTTTGGTATTGAGGATATGAAACTTTTCTAGCGTTATGCAACACCAGCAGTGTGTGTGCAGTATCACTGAACATGTAGTTTACGTGTTGTATGGATTTTTCCCCTCTACGCTACAGAAAGTACAGGTTATTATGAGATCATTGAGCTAAGTAGCGGGTACGTCAAAAGAAAATGACAAGGAAAAGCTATACAGAAACCCATCTTCACGTTTCCCGCGTATTTGGCCAGGCAGCACTTCAACAAGTCACACAAGGAAACAAAACCACTTCTGCCGCGTGAGTCTGTCGTGTAGCAACATTTATATCCATTTTTTTCATAATTCTACTTTATTAGCTAAATGTTTAAGGCAGTCGAAACAAATCAGCCCAACTATGTACTTTCTCCCAAAACTTCACAAAAACCCACCCCCCGGGAGAACCATTTGTAGGCAGACCAATCATCGGCGGATGTTCTAGTCCAACTGCCAAAATATAAGGATTTGTGGATTACTTCCTCCTCCCCAGAATCACTGCTCCACCTACATACGTCCGCGACACCACGGACAATTTGCCAAAACTCGAAAAGGAAACATTCCAACAAAACGCACTGCTGGCAAGCATGGACGTGTATATCCATGTACACAAACAACCATCAGGATGAAGCGATAAACACAGTATGCAAAGTCTACTTGCGAAGAAACTAACCCCACACATGCGATCGCTAAACCCCCATCCCGATACATCTGAACACTACTGGAACTAGTTCTCGAAAGAAACTACTTCCAATTTGGAGGAAAAAACCGCCGCCCCCCCCAAAAAAAAAATCGGTCGTGCTAAGGGATCCGTGGCAAGTCCCGAAATCTGTGACATCACACTCCACGAATTGGACCCCCCCCCCAAAAAAAATTCTGCACCAACTACACCCAATACTATACTTGGCACCGTTCCGAGACGACATTCTCATCATATACGATAGCTCACTCGAGGATTAAACTAACCTCGTCCATGAAATCAATCAGATTCACCCCACCCTCACGAGGCCTCCCAAACGTCCATCACTGACTATCTTCAAAGGTGCATGTTTCCAATCCACGGGCATGTTAGACACACACATCTACACCAAACCCACAGAAACGTACCAATGCTTGTGTTACCAGGTCCGACTTTTACCTGACAGGTTCCCTACTCTTTCATTTATTGCACAACTTTTGTAAACTTTGTGCATGTCATGTCACTTGCTGACTGCCATTGCGATCATGATATTTGCCTAGCGCCTTCTTGCGGCCAAACGTATTATTATTATTTTTTTTTAGCACAGCGTGCGCCACCAAGAATATTGCCCGCTGCTTTTTAAACTATGTAAAGGGCGTAGCGAATTGCATTCCACCGCGCTTTGTTTATTTGAGATAGCTGGCATTCTGGGCGTTTCTATAGTTTTCTTGTAAGGCTGGGCTGCGAAATAATTTGATTTCGATCCAACACCCCGCTGAATCAACATCATTTCTGTGAGCACTTGCACACTCCATTTTATTACAAATTTTGGATGCAGTTTACAATGTAATTCGGCGTTGCCGGCATTGCAGTTTTATGCGTTATTCCTTCCATTTTGCTGCTGCATCGTCGATCGAGCACGAAGAGGAACGAATGAACGTAGATCATCCCAAATGGTGAGTAAATCCCTTGTGTGTTATTCCACTTTTCATCCCTGAATCTTTTTATGCCATAATCTTTTTATCCCACATTAATTTTTATGCAACAATCCGGACTTTTGTTTCTCTCTTTTTGTAGCCAGAAATTAAGGCCGTCAAAACTGAAATGGCCGCAAACGGACGTTTGCGATCACGACTCTTGAATTAAATCTGTTTTTCATGACGTTCAAGTATTTTTGTAAATCAGCAATTCACCTGTGATGATTCACTATTAAATTATCAAGAGTGGCAAAGCAACGACTTCATTTTACGCTCAGAACATTTATTTAAACACATTATTTCCTATACTTTTTAAATATTTTTCGGCAACTCTGAAAAACAATGTTAACATTTTTTTGTTCGTGAATCTCCATTTTCTTTCTTTTAAAAACAAAACTATTTATACATTTTGCAATACGAGCACGCTAACTTCAACTTCATTTTAGTGTTGCTATAATTCATGTTTACATTTGTTATTTGAAATAAGATTTTCCTATTTTTTCAACAAAAATATCCGACCGGGTTTACTTTAAAGTGCTGTCATTAAGAAATGTATTCCAGAATATGGTGGCTATCAATACTTCATTACTTTAGAACATTACTTGGGGAATAATTCATTTTTATTCTGGGAATTAAACTGCCTTATAAATATTCTTGGATTCATAAAATAAGGAAAACAGTGTTTTCCTCAATTACTTTAAATTTATAATGTATTTAATGATGTACTTTGCTCTAAAACGTGATTTGACCATAATTCATTAATGCATTACTGTATGTACATTTCTTTCAGATCCTTGGAGTGACAGTTCAGCCTATAAAGTTGCCCTTTTGACTGTCGTCCATTTAGACGGTCGTTCTTGTATACTATCATTCTTTTGTAAATAACCTCATAAATCCTCGATACAATGTGTACATATATTTTTGTCTCATTTTCTTGGAATCAATTTAATTGTGCTGTAAATGAAATATTTTGAGATACTGAGAAAACAGACAACGTCGCTCCACCCAAATTTTATTTAGTGGGACCACTCGGTTGTGAGGAGAGTGACACATTTTATAAACTAGTTTATTTTGCTCTCCCCGGTTACACTTGGATAGAACCTTTGCCACCCAGAACATGTATTCAACGGCTTTATGAAGGGGAAAACCTACGATATGCTCAAAACACATGTAATCTATAGGATTTTACAGAAAAAAGGTCAATAACTTCAAAAACAAACTCACAACGAGAGGCTACACTCTAGCTGAAATCAGCAAAGCATCCAAAGCAACCCCACTCTCAGGGAAATATTCCCCAAACCTCCTACGGTTGCTTACAAACAATCGACAACATGAAAAAAAAAAAAAACTCTGACTCGACACAAAACGATACAACACTCAACATACTCGTCTCACTACTGGAAGAACAAAATCCAGTCACCTAAATCATGTGTCAAATCACCATGGTTACTTTTATTATCATCAATCACAGGTTCACTCTCAATCACACAATACGGTCACACACTGAACTAACTATGGTCTACTCCGGTTCTTCGCAATCAATGCACCTGAGTTCTGGATCGGAAGAAAATGCATTCCTGCTCGCCCCAAAGAAAATGACATATTTTCCGAACGTCCAAAACAATCCTTCATACCAAATGATCAAACCACCATGGTCCCCCAAAAACATGTGTTTAATTTCCAAACCCAATCCTGTCAAACCTGACAGCGTGGAAATGTACTTTTAAACGAAAACACTCAAACCCGTAAATATTTACGGGTAATGTGATAAGAAAGAACGTCTCTGAATGGGTCTGAACCACCATTTTCCTTATCCTACTAAAAATCTTTTCCAAATGCCGACACATATGGATTGTTTTCTTTGATGTACTGAATATAAAATGTAAAAACGTATATAGAGTGAACACAAAATAACTTCAGCACTGTGTGTCATGCTTGCTATAATGAGTATTTTAAGAACAAATAATCATCTCTTACCTGCATGAACTGCATTTTCACTAACGCTTGCAAGTAACATAGCACACAACACCGCAGAGAGAAAGCACTCCGATTTCTCAGCAATCAGACCCATGGTAGGGCCTACACGGTATGTTGATGCACGGGAGATGCACCAACGTTCAACCAATGTCTGTGCTCTACGGTCAGTACTCAATACTTTGTCTAAATTCGTCTTCAATTGTTTGATATTGAGGATGTGAAACTTTTCTAACTTTATGCAACACCAGCAGTGTGTGAGCAGTAATACTGAAAATGTGGTGTAAATGACTCCTGGCTGCCTGAAATTGTATGGATTATTTTCCTGCGCAACATAAAGTACAAGTTATTATGAGATCATTGAGCTAAGTAGCGGGTATATCAAAAGAAAATAACAAGGTAAAGCTATAAAGAAACCCTTCGTTACGACTCCGCGTATTTGGCCAGGCAGCACTTCAACAAGTCACACAGGGAAACGAAACCACTTCTGTCCGCGTGAGTCTTATCGTGTAGCAAAATTTACAACCATTATTATCATCACAATTCTACTTGAGCTGAATATGATAAACGACCATCTCGTGTACAAGGGTCTTGCATGGTCTACAATACTTGGGCAATTCAAAACTCAATAATGAGCATGATGAAAAAGGAATGCCGATCGTCATTGTTCATTTGAATACATTCGACTGAAGAGTTATATGTAAGACGGGACGGCTTGCTGTTGACTTGGCGTGATGAATAATGTTGATAACATCTTTGCAAATATTTGTCTGTAAATTAAAAGTCACAACTACTCGAATTGAAACTAGGAAATGATAGAGGAACTAACAGCCGGGATCAGAAATTGAACCAACGGCCTGGATAGAATGAAGAAATGTGAGCTACCTTGGGATAGAAATGAATGCTAGGACTGGATGCATGTAGAGATATTTGCCAGGAGAGGATATAGAGTGGACACTGGTAACAACATTGTCACGAATGAAATAAAGAATGCACATCCGAGTCCCCAAAAAGTTGCTTTGTGATCTTGACTTAAAGAGGTAGAAATAGAATCCGTACTGTTCACTTATTTGGGGAAGCAACGCTGGATTGCTAATGTGCAGTTTCACTTTTTTTTTTTAGTCCCACGATTTGACATTGGTGATATGTATGTGGCCCATGTTAGAGTAGTATAATAGGGGTGTAAGTGGCGCCACCGACGTCCCAAAAAAAATCGCCCCCCCCCTCCAAAAAAACACATTTTTTTCTGCTGCCAAAATTCTGGGAAAACATTTTGTGAACAAATTTTAACTTCTACCAAATTTGGAAAAAAAAAATATTCATGTCCCACTTTCTTTATTTTCCAATATCGCCTTTTCTTTGTGGGCATCATGTAGATTTCTGTTTTAAACTGTCTGGACAACGAGGCTGACGTCCCGAATAAAATTTTAGAAAACAGTTTCTCAATTATGTCATGTTCATTGTATCTGTGATTAGAGCGTGTACACAACAGATACTTAGTAATTTTGATCAATTTGCAGCACGTATGGCCAGAAACAAACAGCACTAGGTACCATGTCTAGGTCTCTTTAATACTTAGAAAAACGCACTAGAGTAATAGAAACAGCATCGGGCTCGGTCAAACCCTTTCATTCCAGAGTTATTTACTGTTTAAATACCTACTGGATCGTAAGAGGGTAGTCGTGTCCTCAGTCTTTTTAAGTCTTCCTTGTAATACAGAAGTACGTCATACACTTTCTTTTCTATCCATATTGGCTATAATTTTCTCCAGTTCCTGACGAAAACAAAAAAGGCTCTTTTTATAGTAACCCTTGGGTTTGAAACTTTGTTTCTTCTATATCCTGATTCGATACAGCAATAGCAAATAATGGTTTTATATCCCAACGTGTATTACATATTCTAACGTTCACTGTGAATTATAATGTCAAATCGACTTTAAAAAAAAAACCTGCATACAAAACCAACGTTGATTTAAGGCATAGCTAGGCACAATATTTTTCTAATTTGCATTTGTGTGCAATATTTTTGAGCATTCGAATTGTCAAATACGAGGGGGAGATCGAGAGAGCAGGTAGTGGTGGAAGCGTACTGCTTGACAGCATAGGAACGAGGTTGTTACTCCTGTTCCACTTTTAGTTTCGCATTAAATTCATCAGTTCTCCCCAGAGGTTGACGCGCCAGGAAAGTTTGCTCAGAAATTTATATAAAATTCCCCGTTCATTCTTTCTCCAGGGACCATTTTGAACTAGTAACAGACCCTTCAGGAAAGCCTATTTATCCCGTGTACATAAGAGGCCCATATCATGTTATTATTAATTGTTCTGTTTACTCGTTTTGTGGTCCTTGCTAGTAGTTTTCGTTCCTATTTCCTTATGAAAAGTCCAAAGTTATTTCCTTATTACAGGCCGATACAATTCAAATGCAAAAAATTAATTACACCAAACTGCTGTGGTAAAAGTGGTCGGGCAAAATACAAGTTTATTTCACAAGCCATTAAACCACTTTTTTTCAGTCGAAAAGGTTAGCCAGTTTACGAAGTTAACTACATGTTTATGAATTGATGGGAAATCAATAAAATAAAATTGAACACTTCCATCCATCACTGTAACAGCTAGTCCAATAATGTGAAACCCTATTTGATCGAAATAGTTCTAAACGGGAATCGTCATTAATCATTTTAAATTAAAATTGAAATAGCCTGGTTTTACAATAATGCTTAAAGCAGCAGACTTAAATGTAAGTGTTATTCAATCAATAGAGAAAATTGCTTATAAATCTCTGAAGCCCCGGATTTCGAAATATTATTACAAAGACATAAGACGAATGAAAAATGAGATATACAATATTAACATTTCCAACTGCATTTAAAGCCTTTTAATACCAAATTATTGAAACTATTGTGGGCTGTTGGGTGCATTGTAAGGCCCTAAACCATAAGACGTATATTTTTCAGATCTTCATGAATTTAGGGAAGAAAATACATATTCTTTTATCAAAATTTCAGTATTCATGAACCTTTCCTCGATCGCCACACTCACCCAATTGTTACTTGCAATCAATACGAATTTCTACTGAACATTTAGACTTGCTTAAGCCTCACCCCGACCCCCAAAATAGAATCAATTACTATACATATATCCTTTAGACCAAAATAGGTCCGGGACATAGGTTGAGTAGTTTCATTTTTTTTAAGAGATATATTATGCAAAATGTTTGGACAAACTCATTTTGCCTGAAAATGACCGGATAAATAAACAACTACAGAAACATAAATCCATTTGTCCTGGCTATTAAAGTATTTTCCAGGGTTAATATTAAGTAAAAACAAATTGGGCAATCCATAAAACATCCAGGAGCCACTCGCCCCCATTAGTTGAAAACGCTGCGTTGCTAGCTATGGACCAGACCGGCATGACCAGATTTTTTTGAGTGTTGGTTGTTGAGGTACTCTGACAAACTCCTGAGGGCTACTTTACAGATATGTCGCCGTCTTTTAGTGACTCCCTGCATGCCCTCATCGAGTTCGTAGGTCAGATGCAATGGGCCACATGCTGCAGTTTCCCGCTCGTATTTGAATATCAAGGTTCATGTTGGTTCCCGGGCCCAGGGACACTACTCTTAATTGTTACTGAATTCATCTTGAAAAAGAATGGGCCCCGATTCTGCAAAATGTATCCACTAATAATGGGCGTAGGATATATTTCGAAATGTTAAATAACCATGAACCGGTCTCACATTTGTTTTCTGTTCCTAATTATTCCGGCAGATTGTATAGCGCCCTCATGCACGTGTATAAAAGTAGGCACGCGGTGTTTTAATCTGCAGCACACATCGTCAATGGATCATGATTATTCAGCTAGTTCGATGTTTATTCATAAGAAAATAACAATGACGTCACATCATTGCTATCACTCAGTCGTGCAAGTACATTAAAGCATTTCAAAGAACGGCTTTCGTCGAGCTGCCACAGTGGCCTAGTGGATAGTGGAATGAACTATGGATCGCAAGATCTGTGGTTCGAACCCATGTCCATTTTCTTCAAATATTTTTGGTTGGTTGGGATACGTTTAATTGAAGGGAAAACACTACGAGATCCCTAGTGTCTTCCATCCACACAAAGTGATACATATTCATGTAGGGGTGCGTGATGTGATTGATAAAAATACGATGTATGCTGCCTAAAAAAAAAAATGACGCGGCCTGCACAAAAAAAATTATATAAGATATTACATTGTCAATCAACGGTGAGCAAATGCGTGGCCTAGTTGAGGGCGCGCTCGCCTGACAAGCATGCCGGTTGATTACTTTTTAAATGGAATCCTTATTTTAAAATGCAGAGTATTTCAGCGTTTGTTTCTGATTCGTGGCTCAGGAGGATTTTTTTATGGAAAATAAAGTCCGAAATTGCATAAGGTCTGATTCCCATCTGATGAATACGAAGTCACAACGACAAAAAGCATGGATTCAGACAGCAGCATATACAGCTTTTGTTGTCGGAGAGGGCAACCGCACATCCGCGCCGAAACGTACACTTTTTCTCCGGACACTTGGCCCCCGCTGGATATGCCACTGGATTCAGACGAAGATTCGTTTGGTTAAAATTTTAAAGTCCCCCCCCCCAAAAAAAAAAAAACCCACATGTTCAGTGCCGGTCAAATATACACAGCTTTTTTCGGGAAGTTAAATTGTAGGGCAATAAATAGCGCCCTCTGTATCAGTCAGAAAAATTACCCAGTTTTAGTAAGTGAGGGCGCTGAAACGACGCAATTTTCGTACCACAAATAGAAGCACGACTGGTGAAAAAAGCCTGGTTGTGATAGTGGATGATTATACAGCTACCAACCCACACAAGTTCAAGGGTTATTCTTTGGGCTTAGACTAGGCGTGCCTATTATCAAGCTACACAGCCTGTCGTTGCACGCACGCACACGTGTGCATTTGCATGCATTTGGGGACCCCCTATTGTCCCTCTAAACTTAGTGCAAATATATGGGAGTCCAGAGAGGCCACATTAAGCTAATTCTCGATCATAACCCCATCTAAAAATACGTTAAAATGGTGCAGCAGTAGGATTCCAGTCAAACCAGTGAGTTTGGT